GCACCTTCTCACAGTTGTTAGAGCCATCTCTAAGCCCACAGTTGATGGGTGTTACTGAAAATGTTGAATAAGGTGTTGACTGGTCAGGTAAGAAAGATTCTGAAGCAGTGTTTGGCTAAAGGCTCAAAAATAACATTCATTACTTTAAAATAGCAATAGCATAATTATATTACAAATTAAGTTACTCAGTTATTTGATGATTTAATTGTTCCTGTCTTACCATTACTGTGGGAATTGCATCATTGTTTTAACCTGAAAACTCAGTTACCTTTCTTGTTCAGTATTGTTCATAATGATAAGTGCTGGTACCCAGTGATTTTGAAGAGAATGCCACTTAGGAAGCCTAGACAATCTTACAATTTGTCATGTAAGTTGGCTCAGCAGTCATCACACTTATCAAGACCAAATATCATCATGAAAATGTCTAAATGTCTTTTGAAAGTTAAAATGAAAAATGACGTCATCATTTAGTGGCATCCTTATTTGTGTTGTCATTCATGGCTGATTGGCTGGTTAGGCGTATTTGTTTTAAGGAAACTGAATTCTCAGAGTCAGAAAATAAGAAACTTTTGGGTAACTTGTGTACACATTTCAGAAGAGTGTCATCAAATGCACGGTGCCATCTAACCCTCACTGGGTTGGTAGAGATTATATCAGTCTGCGATCAACAGCACTTGCCTTCAGATGTTTTCCTGGTATCTAGGTCTTGTGGTCAAAGTATTAGTTTTTGAAAGCATGAGAACGTTCTGAGAAAACCCCCTTTTGATTGAAAATGATCTGGTCTCTGAATTACAGGGAGGTCTTTCTGTGGCTGCCCCATTGGACAAACAAATGTAATGTTTTCTAAAAATGTATAAGGCCTAAGCACAAAAGATAAAGTTTTACACATTAGTAGCACATATTTGATCTTTATATAGCGGTGTAAATAGGGCACAGTGTGAACTTTGAACAGACTTGAAAAGATTGGAGCATTTTCTCAGATACATGTGGATGCTGAGGTCCTCATACTTACATTATACACCACATCTGTATCCCAAAACCTATCAATTCAATTAATGTTTTTGTTATTGTAAAACTTACATGCATGCTCAGTGCTACAAGAGAGACTAAAGATAGGGCTGCAACTAACAATTATTGTCATTAATTATTAATCTGCAGATTGTTTTTGTGCGTTTAACCATTTTGTGTATAAAATGTCAGAAAATTCCAATAACAATTTCTTTCTGTTTGTCCAACCAACAGTCCAGAACCCAAAGATAACAATTTAACATCATTGAGGTAAAAACATCAAATATTGAAGTCTGTTTTCTTAAATAGCTAAAACATTTAATGGATTATCTAAGTAGTCGATCAACCAATCAGTTTGATTAGTTTCAGCTCTTCTTAGGATGAGGAATGTTTTACAACATTTTGCATAACATTGTATACACAACAAATAGGATACTGTTGTAACATAACAATGTGTAAAAGTTACAGTGGGGAGCGTATACTAATCAGGTATGCAGTACTACATTCTTTAAAATAATTGCATCCAGCAGTTACAGGATTACTTGCTAGATAGTTACCAAAGAATAGCTGAGGCTACTGCAGGGATAGACACTATTCTTTTTAAGCACTGGCCCCACGGACCACCAAGCCCTGAAATTTGCAACCCAAGTAGACTAAGACTAAATACTACAGGACATGTTACAGAGTGTAACAGGTCTACCAGGTGAGCTACCAGGGCGCCTGTCAGAGTGTAACTTATACTGGGAAGCCTGGTGTGGAAGAGGACAGTGCTTAGGAGTAGTTTGTTTGGAGGTAACCTCCTAGCGTGAGCAGAGTCAGACACAAGCAGAGTTAAGGGGTGTGGTGTGTTGTTGAACAGTAGTGTTTGGCTGGATAACAGTTCTGGGTTGTAGGCAGTGCTTAGCTGAGAGAGTTTTATATAACATATTTGCAGGCCTTACATTTCCTGTGGTGTTTGCCAAGCAGCAGCAGGAGTGTCTGAGGTGGGTTGGACTTTTGGTAATGTCGAGGTTTTGTAATTATCTGTATGATGTGGTGGTACTCAAAAGAGAACTGTATAAAAACAATCAAAAAAAAAGATCAGCTCAAGCTCATCTCTGATCAATATTCAGAGGAAATAATCTGCTCAAATCTCTATTTTACTATGTTGGTTGTTCTCTACTGTTTTTGTACTGAATATAATATTGAATAGATAAATAAAAAACAAGTGACATAAAATATGTCTCTTTGGGTTGTCAGTTTACACAGTGAACGAAAGGGTGTACCTTAAGGAAAAAGGTTGGGAACTGGTGGACGCAGGAAGTAGTCCTGAAATCAGACATGGCCTAATAAAAAACAGAAGCTAATTTCTTTACTATCTCCTATCTTACTTAATGGGATTTACATGCATAGTGCATTCGTATTTGTAGTAGGAAATAGGCGTAACATTTTTTTTTAATAGTGTTATACAGAAACAACTTCATTTACGGCAAGGCTGATGGAATTTATAACCCGTCAATACATTGAGGGGTTTAAGGAAGTTTAGAGTATGACACTGAATTGAAATAACCATAGACTTCAGGGAACTTGGTCCGACAGACAGAGAGTTTACAGGGTAGCTGCAGTTGTTCTGAGACACAAATAGGCCATCAGTAAAACAGGATGTGGATATAGATCTAGATTATGAAATATATTGGGTAACTAGAGATTGCTCTACTTTTTTGTGGTTTGGCCGAGTATTAGTTTGTTGCATAGCATTTAGTATGGCATCATTAAATAGTTTCTCTGAGCAACCCCCACTCTGACTTACTTACAGCGTCCCTGCTTTGAACTAGACGTCAGCGAGGTCAACCCATGGTCAAGAGGATATTGGATTTGTTGGGTCATGTTCTTGAGCCCTTTTGCTGGCCTCACATGCCTTCACAGGTGCGGACAGCTCAGCATTCAAAGCAGGGCTAGGCGATATACTCAAATACTGGAATATCAATAAATGTGCGATTCAGTGTTCAGTGTTTACTCTGGCCATGGCTTTTCACAGTCAGGAAAAAATCTGTAAAGAGTACAAGAAGGCACCAACACACAGCCTTTCAGTAATTATATTGCAACCTGAGCTTATCTACACACTTTACTACCCTTAATAGCATGAACTTTTTTTGTGGATGTGGCAATGTGCCGGTACTTCTCTCAAACACAGAGAAAGACTCCGTTACGCACCCAGGTTACCCACGTGTGAAACCTAACATGTGCAGATAAGCTGCGGGTGTGCTCTGTAACTAGAGGTGAAAGTATTCAGATCTCTTACTCAAAGGGCCAGTGTGTAAGATTTATTGGGGGGGTCTACTGGCAGAAATGGAATATTATATTCATAATCATGTTGTTATAATCACCTGACACTATGAAATGTTGTGTTTTTGTTACCATATGAGCTGTTTTTATGTACAGAGGGAGCAGGTTGAACCATCGTGTTTCTACAGTCGCCCGAAGGGACAAACCAAACAAGGACTTTAGTTTTCCTTTGCAAAAGGAGGGATATTCAGTCAGTTGCAATATGCAACTTCACCATTAGATGCCACTAAATCCCACACACTGGACCAAGTGTAGTAGTTAGAGTGCAGTTCCCTGCCAGGGCTTTACTATTATATCTTGTATTTATTTCATTGGTTTATTTTTGCAAGGACAGCGCACAATTAAAACCAATTGCACCATAGTTAGCTAACAGCTAATTTGCATCTGTTGTCCCTGGGCAGATAGACAAAAAACGACAACAGAACAGTAGCAACACTGCGCAAAACAGGACAAACACCCTTACAAAATAAAATAGGCAACAATTAAATAAAATCCTGACAATTTCACACATGTCCTATAATTCACTTTGATGAATATCAATTGTAAAAACTGATGACAGAAAGAAACAATTAATTATTTTTTGTTAAATTGGGTTTAATTACATCAGTTGATTAAGACGTGATTGATTACGTTTGCAGAAAACTGGTCATACAATTTAATATTAGGATTTACAGCCTTTTAATTTATTAAAGAGATTAGATATTTTGACAGAAGAAGTGTAGCAGGAAGCCAATCAGTGCAGTTATATGGGTGCTAATCATAGTTATAGTTGTGTTGCCTTTATTTATAAGAAAGAGTGCGCTGTTCACTTAATCTTCATCAACTTAATCTTAGATTAACAAATCAATTCTCGGACTCTTTAAAGAACCAAGTTAGGAAGAAGTCATTTCAGCTGACTAACATCATAAAAACCCAAATTAGTTTGAATATCAAACTATGTTTGAATAAAAGGACCATACTGGTGTACCCTGCTGCTGTGCAAAGTGTCAGGATGTGGTAAATCAGCAGAGAAAATCAGCAGAGGCAAGTTCACTTTTTTCAGTTTCCTCAGAGGGCATAAACACCCTTTTGTGTTCTTCATCAGGGAGGAGGCACTGAGAGACAGAAAGGGTCTAAAACTATGGATGTACACCAATCAACCGTAACATTATGACCACCTGGGCACCCTGGTGGTCATAATGTTATGCAGCCCCATATTAAACAAACTGTGATGCACTGTGTGTTCTGACACCTTCCACTGCTTTCCCTTGCTTGGACCACTTTTGTTAGGTACTGATCTCTGCAGACCGGGAACACCCCACAAAAGCTGCAGTTTTGGAGATGCTCTGACCCAGTCAACTAGCCATCACAATTTGGCCCTTGTCAAAGTCCCTTAAATCCTCACGCTGCCCATTTTTCCATCTAACACATCATCTTTGAGGACAAAATGTTCACTTGCTCCCTAATGTATCCCACCCCCTAACAGGTGCCATGATAACCACATAATCAGTGTTGTTCTCTTCACCTGTCAGTGGTCATAATGTTATGGCTGATCAGTGTATATACTATTAAATATTTACTCTCATTAACTCCTGCCAAACTGCCTTTTTGGTGCTCACTTCCACTGTACACAAAGCTTCTTACTTAGACTTCCTATTCTAAGCATATCCTTAGACACACTGGGCCAACCCCTCAGAACTGCTCAGCCCTCACCCATGCACACTCAAAACCCTGCATAAGAGACAACCACAATTCACATACAAAAGCATGTGTTGTGTTAGCTTAAGTGCCATAGTGGTTTAGCATATCTAATTCCTCATAATACCCTGATCTGCCATGAATTCGCTGTGCAGGTGGGAGATACTCCTTATTAGCGTATGGATACAAGTGAGCTTTGTGCCTGGGATACATTGCAAGAATGGGATTGTCGATCTTCTCTCAAGGGAAGGTAGGAGCTTAAGGATAATTTATTTTTGTACAGTTGAAGTACAATTTAAATCCATTTGAATGCAGTACAGTTAGCAGCTGTATTTTTCTCATTTAGTGTTTATTTCCACAGGAAATTGTGACTGTTAAGTATATGATGCAAAGCCCCCAAATCCCCAAATATACTGTGTATGTATGCTGTGAGAACAGGTTAATAAGTTGTACAGTAGGTAGAAGTTATTTTACATTAGTTGCTGCAGTGTTGTTGTAGCAACCACCAACTATTTTGTGCTGAGACTATCATCTTGTGCAAAGCTTATCTTGTGGGAACAAAATATGTTGTGCAACAATGATCTGTATCACTTGTCCTGGCACTTAATGGGTCTTGTTCCCTCATAACAAGTTAGCACAAGTTGACAAAAATTTTTGCCCAACAGAAAGATTTTACTCTATGACACTTACTTATTGCCGCAATAAAATATCGTATTCCCACAAGTTAACGTCTAACAAGAATTTGGGGGACATGACTTATTCCAAGAGTTCTCATGTATTCTGTTTGTCATTTCTGGAACAGATATTATGCTCTTGAAGAATGAACCGGATCCCAAATGTTTCACCCGCACAGACAAGGATTTCACCTGCTTCTTTGAGACTGCAGACAACAGGACTTATGATTTGTTCTACACAAGTTTTACGTATGTTATACACAATAAATGCATTGGGTTTTTATATATTAAGGAACTGCAGAGAGTTTCAAATCATTTAAACAGTACTTTTCTTCAGTATTCATGTGTACTTTAAGTATCCTATCCTATATATCCTATAGTGGCTTCTAAACCTGTATGTGAAAGGACTACAGGTTTAGAGGAAACACACAAAAACCTATATCAACCAAGCACTTGTATTATGTTAATTCTTATTTTTTTGAATTATTTTATTTCTCCTTTGGTGTTTACTTTTGCACCTTACTCAGATATCATTAGTCACCCTAAACTGCACTTATCTGGGTGAAAGATGCTATTCAAATTAAGTTTGATTGACATATTAATGTATTTCAAAATGTCCAAAAATTGTGTTTGTCACTGTACAGAGAGAAAACGTGCAGCATGTCTGTCCAGAGAACAGAAGAGGGCACTTTCCTCCACATCTGCCCATTTCCTAGCTCAGATGTTTTTCTGTATGTGACTACACACCTTAAAGTGGTGGAGCGCAATACCAACATCATCCTCTACGAACGGAACGTCTCTGTGGAGGACAACTGTAAGACATTTGTTTTTACAATATTTACTTACTCAATAAAGGAGGAATGTAAATTGATGTATTTCTTGTCTGCCATATTGTCTTAGAGCCATTTCAGATCAACTGTACATAAAAAATATAATTCCTGTATAAATCTCAGCCCCTATTCTATACAGCTTCCCATCCCATCCCTGAGAAAAAGCTCAGAGAATTTTAGCCACCTCCCCAACATTGACCACTGCCTTTTAAATGTCTGCAAAACTACATCTGTCACTCTGAGTCATTTTGGATCAAGAGGGACTCAAACAAAAGAGACAGTATTCACCCCAGCAATAAGGGCACGCACATTTACACAGTAAACTCAACTTCTAATTTAACTTTCTTAAAAAATGGACGGACTCTCTCCTAACCACATCTTCTCTCCTCATCATTGTGGTTCCACTTTCCCCAGCCTCCCACATACACCGATCAGCTATAACATTATGACCACTGACAGGTGAAGTGAATAACACTGATTATCTGGTTATCGTAGCACCTGTCAGTGGGTGGGATATATTAGGCAGCAAGTGAATGTTTTGTCCTCAAAGTTGATGTGTTAGAAGAAGGAAAAATGGGCAGCGTGAGGATTTGAGTGACTTCAACAAGGGCCATATTGCGATGGCTAAATCACTGGGTCAGAGTGTCTCCAAAACTGCTGCTCTCGTGGGGTGTTCCCGGTCTGCAGTGGTCAGTACCTATCAAAAGTGGTCCAAGGAAGGGAAAGCAGTGAACTCACAAGAGGGTCATGTATGAAAGCCATTTTTTTCACGTAATATAATGCAGAAAATAATGCTTCTGGTAATATATTTGTTTCTCAATTTACAATACTGGGCCAAGCAGCACAGAGTAAGAGAGAGCTCTCGGCAACGTCTGCATGTTAGCTAAATGGAAAGCAGCCACCATAACAAGCAGGGCAAGCTGATCGTGAGTATACTCAAGTGGGCCCAAGATGGAAGACTTAAGTCCTCCAGTGTGTCCTGGGTCTTTGGGTCTCCTGTCAAAAAGGTCATGAAAGCCACGGTTCACCTGTTGCCTAAACACCAGTGAAATATTTTCACCAGTAGATTCTGTAATGTTTTTTGTCCTTATTTTGTCTCTAGTTCTCCTGTACCCCCTCTTCAATGTGTCTTTACACCATAATGACCAAGCAGGACAGCTGCGGGTTTCATGGCAATTAAAGATCCCGCAATACTGGGAAAATTATGTGAGCTATCGGATTCGATTCTCCTCCAAGGGGCTGGGAGAGAAGATAAAAGAGGTACACACAACTCTTCTAAAATGACTGTCACATTCAAACTCACATATATTGTTTGTTAGCATAAAGGGAGTTTTTATATAATCTAAGTATTGGTATGCCCAGCATACGGGTTAGTATGATGGGCTTTTGTACATCATCTACATGTTAATTATGGAGTCCTCTAGCTGTAGCTGGCTTTATTAAACTCTCTGTCTGTCCGACCATGTGCCCTGATGCCCTGGACACTCTAAGCTCTCTGTAACGCTTCAGTGTGCAGGCGGGGGATAGATTCCATCTGCCTTGCCTTAAATAGGGTTGAGAAGGAGGTTGGTTCAGTGGTTTCTATCTTTCTTCACCTTTTTCTATCACTACTTTTGGCCACAGCAAGTGTCACTTTCAAGATATAAAGTTTATCTTAGGCTCAAATTGAAGTTTATGAACGTGGTGAGGTTTTTATAGCCTATATGAGCGAGGCAGTGATATTCACCATGATGAGAATTTGACAGGCGGCCAGTTTGTTTTCTCTTTTTGGGGATTTTGTAGGTGATATTTTTCAACAGAATGGCACCAGTGACTTTTCCCCTTTGTTTCAGGATACCCCCCATCAGTTTTCATAGGTTACTTCTATTACTATGCAATTTTAGTACTTCCATATACATCATTTCCAGAAACGTGCCCCACGAAAGGGGTTTTGGGCCCCGTGAGATCAAACGCCCAAAGTATGGGGAGATGTTATCAACTTGTGATCAACAGCAAATCGTAGTGGGGGAAAAAGGGATCATTTTAAAAATGATTTTACAGTGACTTTAATGTGTGCTAAGACCAAAACAATTTAAAAACAAAGTAGAAGTAAAATAATTTAATAATTTTTATTTATTTATATTATTATTATTATTATTATTATTATTATTATTATTATTGATCTTCCTGGATTGGTAATTACAGCATGTGAAAAAAAGTTGAATGATAAAAATTAATAATATTGTAAAATCTATGATGTTTGTGATTTCTTTAGGCAAAGGAGGGTGACATACTAGACTCTCTGGTACCAGGGGAGGAGGTTGAGGTCCAGGTCAGTGTCAAATGTGGCTCCAATTTAAATGCAGCACACTGGAGCAGCTGGTCACACCCTGTGCGAGCCATGGTCCCCCAAAGTGCAGGTGTGTCCAAATGAGAAGAGCGAGAAATGTATGAGTGTATGACTAACTCACATCTCATCCCATGACCCCTTCTGTCACAGATGCAATACTTGAATGAGAAGTATTTCCTCTTTTTCAGATGATATTTCGCTAATGTGCTACACCTCTGACCTGCAAACCCTCACCTGTCAGTGGAATGGGAGCAGATATGATGAAGAGAAACTTTTCTACAAGATGGGTCTCGGGTACATTACATTCTTACTTTATTTCACCACTGGTTGATTAAAGTCCTCAGATGTCTCTGTGATCATGTCACAGCGTGTTTAAGTGGAACACCAAGTTGTTTTTGATAACATCCTCCACAGGAAACACTACACACAACATTAACCACGTTTTGGTTCACACCACCTAAACTGATGGCTTTGATTTGAAATGATTATACCGTCATTCTGACAGTGAAACTTTGGGCTGGACAGAATGGACCGAGTGTCTCCCTGACAAGAACATGACTGACCTGTGCCGTTTCCAAGGAGATAATTCCAGTAAAATCAGGGTCAAGCTCAGCACTCCACTCAGCAGAACCTTCTATAGTCCAGAGTTCATGCTCAGCAACAGCAGTGAGTTATTTTTTGTTCCTTCTTGCTTTGTTACTACAGTTTTAGTCAGAACGGAAAAGCTACTTCACAGGCTGATGTTGAACTCTATGCAGTTGCCCCAAAAATAAACCACAGGAATATATATTTAACAAGCTTTTTTTTTTTTTTTTTCATAACCATGGAATTTAGCAAGTTAGCTCACCTAGACAGCTGCAGGCTGGATCTAGGTAGCTAAGCTCTCCAGTTTACATACACTATGTGCAGCAGACTTTAATTATTCAGTTACTGTAGTAACAAGAGCCCAAATAAATTGCCTGCCCTCTCAGCTTCTTAATTTTTCCCATCAGGCCTCAGTAAAAGTGTGTTTCCACGGCTTTGTGTTTTGACAAATTAAGTGTGCTGTTTATTTTTAGTAAAAACATATCCACCAAGGCATCTCAGAGGAACACTGAAAAATAATAAGTTGTGCTTGAAATGGGAAGCTCCACTTCCGTCTCTGTCGGCTGACCTGCAGTATGAAGTTGGCTACCAGATCAGAGGGGAGGAAACATGGATGGTAAGAAGTCATTTACAACCACAATTGCATGTTTTCTTTGTTTTTTTTTTTTGGTTAAGATACTCTAGGGCCATGTTAGGGTTTTTGGTTTCTGAGTGTGTTTTGATATTATGTGTTCTTTATATTACCACCAGATGGCAGTAAAGTAGTAATTTTCAATTCTACATACAGTGAGAAGATGATCCATTATATTGGTTTCACGTTGGATGTTGCAAGAAAATGGCTTTTGCAAAATCAAAACATTTGTGCAAATGCAACAGTAGGGAACAAAACCAGTTTTGAGTTTTGAGTGAGGGAATGTGAATATATTTCAAGTACATCTTCACTAAGATTCCCATTTAATGTTCTCAACACTGAATGTTAAATGAATTCTTCTGTCACCAGATGGTACCCCTGACGAATCAGAGGGGCACTTGTCTAGAGGTTCCACCAGGCAGACAGTACAACGTTAAGTGCAGAGCTAAACCTATCAGCTCCATTCACTTTAGCCACTGGAGTGACTGGTCAGACGTGCTTACTGGTGACACCCCCACTGACAATGGTAAGCGCACACTGACAAAAGTCAGTGTACAACCCACATTTATATAGTAATCCACATTACTTTGTAGAAAAATTACAATCAAAACATTGTAAAATTGCACTAAATGCAATGCAGCAGTGTTACTCTACTGGTAAGAACTGTAACATGTCATATATTCAAGTTTAGCTGTGTGATTAAAAATTTTAGCTGTATGAACTGCACTGCTGTGTCTCAATACATTAAAATATAAATATTGTAGACCTATCAAATGCAGTTCTTATAAGTTAATTTAATTAGAGTAACAATTGGACACCATTCAAACCTTAATGCAATATAAACAACCTTTACAGGCATATGGCTCATGCTGTGGATCCCTATCTTGATGCTTATGATGGTTATTATCCCCATCGCCTTGTTTCCCACGTGTCTCCGGTAGGACCTTTTTCCAACTCATTCAGATTTTAATCAACCTCCACTTCATAGACATACACAGAGAAACAGAATCTTGTGAAAAAATAAAATATGTTACCTCCATCCATCTTTGTAAATGGATATCAATTTGCACTGTATAACCCCTTCAACACTTGAAATCTGAGATTTTATATTCTAAAAGTCATTTCAAATCACTAACTACTCTACTTTGTGCAATACACTTTTACACAATTCTTTTAATGAATTTGTCTAAAAAAATTAATAATTTCATGTTGTGTATTTTTATAGTGAGCTCAAGCTGTACATTTGGCCACCAGTGCCCAACCTTGACAAAGTCCTACAAGGCTTTCTGACAGAGCTCAATGGGCCGAGATGGGTAAATTGTTTTACCATGGAATTTTGCATATAGATAGATAAAACAAGTAATAACAAAATATAAATCGTGAGTGATACAACCAAGTTAGTTTACACTCAACTCAGGTGTTAAAAATGAATTACTTTGCATTTACACAACAGGATCCTCCATCAACACAAAAGCAGTGTTTTGAGGAAACCACTTCATCTGTGGTGGAGATAATGTCTGATAATGAGGTTTCAGGATTGGGGAAGCCATCAGAGACTTCCACCCTGCTCCTGTCACCAAGCGGAAGCTTCTCCAGCACAGAACAGGTAGATGGAAGTCCTGGAACTGGACACTTTCCAGACTATGTGACTCTGAACAGAGACAGTATCATCCTTTGCCCAAAAGGGAACACGTATGTCTACGAGCAGGTCAGAGAGAAAGAAGACCCGCCGGTGAAGGAGGAGCTCATCAAAAAATGTCACTCTTCCTGCACTAATGGCTCAGCCTGTACTCCACCCTGCTTAGGCACAGACTTCCTCAACCATTCCTACTTACCTCTGGCTGAGTCTGCAGACAAATTTGACTGCAAGGTCACTGCTGCAAGGGGGCCAGGCAACCTCTATACCAATTTCCCCTGTAGCTAAATGTACTTTGTTTCCACTGGTGCATATTTGTTGTATAAAGTGCAGCTCTCTTTTTGACACAATAACTCACTGTAAATTCATAGATGTACTGCATTTCTCCTGCTGTGGATAAAGCTTTGATAGCAATAAAAACGATTTGTTTCAGGATAAACACACGCCATGGCTTATGCAAAGGTCAGTTACCATGTGTTCATAGTGTAATGGGGGTTAGTTTTGATTATGGCATCACTCTTGATGCAGTCTTTTGTAGCTGAAATGCCATTACGATTTGAAGATTAGATTAGATTTCAAGAATATCTATTATCTAATATCTATTTCTATGACACTTGGCTCAAATGCTGTTGAATATATTTGGGCATGATATATTATATATTAGTTTATCTACTGCTGTATCTTTTTATGTCCACTAGAGGGAAGACTAGATCACAAGATACTTTGTGAGATTGCAAGAAAAGACCACACTGTGTTTTTAGTGCTCAAGAAGACTGTATAAGCACACTGTTAACAATAACTGGTGCTTCTGTGTGCTTAGAGTACCTTCGATAAGAAAAGTAAAGAAAAAGAAAGAAGAAAAACAATGTCAAAAAGAAGGTGCCATTAGAGATTGGGACTATTGCACAAGGGTTTAGTTTAGATTTGTACATTTCTTTTTATTAAGCATTTGAATGTCACCTCCTCTGTATGTTTTCTTACATTCTTTTTCCTTTGCCTTGCCATTGTTTATTGTTATATACTCATTAACTCATTTATATTGTACATATTCCTTGTGGGTAAGAAGTCTAAAAAGTTTAGGAGGACATTTATGTGACATGTAACCCAAAAAAATTAAATAAATAAATAAAATAAAAAAATAAAAAACTGTAAAAGCCAAGATAAGCTTTTAGTTCATCATGCATTACATTGTAACATAAGGGTTTGTATTCTTGTCAATAAACATTGAGCTGTTTTCCTCCCATTTGCATTTCTTGCGAACTCAACCATAACATAGGCGACACTCTGCAGCTTGTTGGACAGCTGCTTTCATTGCCTCCAACCAAACAGCCGCTGCACTGTTTTGTGTTCCTAGATACAAACCTTGTTTTTGTCTGTCTTAACATTTTTTGTGTCACTAGGTGGTAGCAGAGATCAATGGGTAGAGACAGGTTGTCTCTGTGTTGTCATAGCAAGTCCTCACTGAGACACCACTAGTTAATGTACACCACTGAAAATGAAACAGATTTTGGCCCAGATTCAGGTTTGTTCCTCATTATCTATTGAGGGTTATACCTGTAAATATGTTGTCAATATGTTAAACAAAATATGAATTATAATGCACAACACAGTTGAATGCTAGATGTTAATTTATTACACAAAGTAGACGAACAGCTCAATTTAAGATGACTCAAATAATCATTACTCACAACTTGTATGAAAACCAAGAGACCTGAGTTGGAAACACAACATCAGTGACTACTGGGATGAGTGAAGGGATTAGTAAAAGGATAAAAAAGGCTTCAACAAAGTCAGTACACTTTTTCAGGAGCCGTTACTCACATCCAGCCTTGCCAGCCAAGAGCCAAGTATGTATTAAATGTTTTCTGATTTTAAATCAGATAGGAAATGGTTATGGTGCCCCAGAGCTGTACAAGTGATAGGTGATTTAGAGCAATGTGAGATTCGATGACAATTTTAGGTGAAATGGCTTTACTTGTGTAAAATCCAATGTTTGACATTGTACCAATCATACAGTGTATGACTGGTCCTGCCTGGCTCAGCCTTCTGGAGTAAGTGGGTGAGAATCAGAACTGGATGCTCTGCAACTATGCTATCACCCAGCACCCAGCCAGCCGCCTTCTGTAAAATATACTACTAGTGTCACACTTTTAACGGCAGGCCATCACATCTACAGTGTTCGCCAGACTGTATGATATCATAGCCATAAATTAGCCCAGATCGCCTATGAGGCAATAGCAGAGGGTGGGAGAAAGTGAGTGCTGAGAGTGAGACAGTCAAGAGAAAGACAGAGAAAGTTTAAGAGAGTCAGTGTTTACTGGTGTACAAGCCTCTCCTCCCAACAGGAATTCTTTCCGTGTTTCATCATCACTGCCCGCTTGCCCATACACAAACGTCTTTAGAGGGAGGCTGAATCACCTCCTGATGTCATTTACTCAACTTTCACTTACAATCACACTGAGAAACAACATGGTTTCAGATGTGACGGGCTTAAACGTGTACAGTATAGTGTATGTACAGTGAACATATCTACAGGCCTCAAACATAAATCAAACTACAACACAGATAAGGCCACCAAAACAGAGCTCATACAAAACCCTTTAAACCAGTGTTTCTCAACCTTTTAGGTGTCAAAGACCCACAAATTGATACACATCAGACTGTGGACCCGTATTTGATAACATTTTAGTCTGAGGAATCCATGTCTAGTAAAATGTGGTTATACCATGATTTTCTATCTGCAGATTGGCAGATTAACAATTAAGAGAAGAAGAAGAGTCATTCTTATACATATCTCATTGGGCTAACTTCTAGTGAATCAAATAATAGTGGAATTAAAATACTCCCCATTTTTCTGGGGACCCCCTGAAACTCAATTTAAAGACTCCTGGGGGTCCCTGGACCCCTGGTTGAGAAGCACTGCTCTAAACTCCTGCTGGCAGCTACCACTGTGAATACACATGGAAACACACCAAACAGGGGCAGTTAGCTTGTTCTGCATGCAGAGTGCAAACTCTCTCACTGCATTCACATTTGGTGTTTTTGGATTAAGTGGAACAGACATCAGCTTCACAGCATGTTTTCAGTCAGTTTTCGAGTAAAAACGACCAGACAGGAAAAAAAAAGAGAACCGGTGTAATCAACAACACAGGCAGAACCAATGGTGTGTGAAAACTACAGTGCCTTCAGAATCATTCAGCAGGAGTGACCTCATTGGTTTTCCATACAGGCATTGTACATTTAAAGGAGAAGAGGTGTTATGTTGGAATAAATGAATGCTTGGTTCACCTTATAATAATGAAAACATACAGTACATTTTCCCACAGGGGCAGCTGCTATCTGTCCTCTGTAGGGTTGGAACAGATTTGCATCCCCACACAGATCTAAACAAAAGGCAGGAGGGATGCAAAATTGCTTACACAAAATGACCCATGGTCCTTGTAGAATAAATCAATACGCTACTTTTAGCTTCTCTAGCTGGTGGCAATTATTGAGATCAGTCAAGAATCGTCTCCAGTACTGCACGATCAATAGCATGGTTAGCAAAAAACAGTCATGAAAAGTAGGAGCACCTCAGGTCTCAATGGCAGTAATTTCAATATCAATCACAAAAACACAAATTATGACACTGCGATCATACCAAAAGCTTGTATCTAAAGAAGGCTTTACAAGAACTGTATTTTCAAACAGTGACAAAACAACCTAAAATTCAGTCATGCATTTCAATAAAGTACACAATAGTGTGTCAGTGGTTTTGAAATTATGCACAGTGATGAAATTTACTCAGCACCAACTGTAAAGAAACCACAGGAATTTAAAATACCAGTTAAAAACTGCTAAATAGCAATGCTGACAGTGAGATTTACAGCAGTAGCAGGATTTTTGTCCTCCATCTTGCACCAAAAGGCAGTTCTTGAAAAGTGAATTACAAACTGAATCGCAATTGCATTATATAACCAAATACACACAAAATTAAATCACAGTTAAAATGGTGCATGTGAACAGTATAAACCAACTGTTTGCATTATGTGTTAGTTATGTAATTCATAAACCTGCAGTGAAGTGTTGGTTAGACTCCTTTTTCAATGGCAACAAAAAATCTCAAACAGATCTATCTGGTTTTGTTTGTCCAGTGCTCTGTTCTATGTGGTTCTCTTAAAGGGTTGTAAACATCGAACAGTAAGCGAGGATTGGTCTACACATGAGCGGTAGTTGGGTGGGGGGTGGCTCAACATGGCTCTACTTCTCTGATCTGGGATCAGATCTTCTTTTATTAGTATTTGTAATTAATCTGAATTTTTTTAAAAATAGTTTATAGACTAGTTACTTAGAAACACATACTGTCAAAAAATCATATATGGCTTGACATGGGGTGAATTTTTGACCCCTTATCTAAACTGCAAAATATTTTGCTTTGTTTTCAGATTTTTGTAGAAAATATTAGAATATATCCAAATCAAGAGAAAAGTAAGACTAGCTTTAATGTATTATCCTAATTCTTTTAGAGACAAATTTTTAACTGTGTTTTATGTCAACTGAACTATTAACACTCTTAAAAGACCTTTTAATGTAATTTGAGTGTTTTAATGCTATTTGAGTGTTTTAATGTAATTTGAGTGTTTTAATATAATTTTAGTGTTTTTGGGGGAAAGGGAGACCAGATGACTCCCTCAGATTTATATTTTCTTTGTCCCTCAGCAACAACAAACTTGCCTGTCCTTCCTCCAAGTACAAAGATAGTTTTGCTAATCCTTGGGATCCTTGGTGATCGGATACAGGCTCTGCTTGGTTACCATGCACTGAGAGAGCCCCTAGTGAGCACGCTCAGATGTTGGCCTTCTTGTTGATGAGTACAGAGCAGCATGTGAGGGCTCCGTCCACTTTGACCTTCTCCATGTTGGACACAGGGATTAGCATGTGGTCTTTCAACTTCTCAAACACCTGCAGGAAACAAAGACAAGGCTGTCATTGGAAAAACTGACTTCCTGCCCTTTTAGATGATTCTGTCTAGAATTCATCGATGGTTTTGAGAAAATTATGACAGCTGGAATTTAACAGATCATCACAGTGTTCAGTCAAATATCATTAGAAAAATAGGTTTTAATGCTATACTTGGGAATCAAAATCTGCCCTAAATGAAATAATCAAATACAAAGTAGACATTGTCATGGCAACAGCTACCTCCTGACTCTGCCCTTGGGTACCAGATCTGGGAGCCAGTGTTACAAGTATTGACTGGCCAAGCACTTCAACAAGCTCCTTAGAAAAAGCTGAGTACAGCTCAACTGGCAGTGGTTAAACTGAAAGGGAGACCTTATGCAACACTTAAATTTGTTTACTCTGATTGTCAACATGAAATGTTCTGGGATATAAAACCCTTTAAGAGAGACACAAAATGTGAAGTAGGAGAACAAGCATTCAGGAAGGTTTCCTGGTCTGCCGGCAAAATATAAAAAAAAGATGGGAGTGAGAACTATTACAACATTCTCCAAAGACCCTCGTAAAGTAGTGTGTCACCCTGTGGACATTTTCCAGAAGAAAACCAGTGTTTTCCTACCAGACTTCCAAACCAGGATATTTTTCTCTTTAAACTCTCACTTCAACCCTGCTGTGATACTGAGCGAAGCCTTGCGGCACAGCCAGAGGGACCAACTAAACAAATTCTTATCTCATGATGCAATATGGCTGACGAAGCTTCTGGTGAACCAATTGCCATGTTTAAAGCCACCACAATCATGTGCTTTAAAACTCTTGATTCTTTTCTACCCAAGATGTTTTGTGTAATGTGGCCATTGCAACAACATACTCTTCTGTAGCACCATTAGACCACTTTTGCATAATTGCATTTTTTGCAGGTATTTTGGTCACAAACTAAAGTATTGACCTGATGGCTAAAGATGAGTTAAGAGATCACCAAAGTCATTGCAGTTGATCCTCAGGGGATCATGAATGCATGCACCAAGTTTAATGGCCAGCCGTCCAATAGTTGTGGAGACATCTCACTCAGACCACAAATGTCGACCTCACGGTGGCAGCGGGTGGAACGTCAGAGGACCACCAAAGTCATTAGAATTTACCGTTTGTTTCATGATAATCCATCCAATAGCTGAAGAGATTTCACTAAAAAACAAAAAAAGTGTCAACTTCATGGTGACATCAGAGGAAAAGTTGGGGGATCACCAAAGTCAGAGTCAGGGGAACATGAACATCTGTTTAGCAATCCATCCAAGACTCGCGAACATATTTTAGTTTTAGACCGAGCGAGCGACACCGCCATCCAAAAAACTTTTAGACCACATGATCAGAGGGTCAACTCAGGCTGTGCTTTTGAGTCCCCGAAAACAACATCAGTAAATTGCCTGTCGTTTATAGCATCTCCACCTCCAAAGTGTCTCTTTTGTTTTACATTTCCAGCCGAGTTCTCATTACTGCAGTTGAGATTTATATGCTGGGTCGGAGGGTGGCATGGTCCCACACAGTAAGGGGCTTCTATTTTTCACTAGGCCTTTTGTCTGCTCGGTTTCTTTATCTCCAAACCGAGCCCTCTAGAGCCGTCGCCACTGCTAACCATTAAAGATGTCCCGTCTCCACCCCCTCCGACCCTACCAATCCTCTCTCATGACCCCCTGCCTTTGTTAATGTGGGACTCTTATGTAACTTCACGAGCAAACTAAAAATAGACCGGAGAATAGGACAGACAATGTTTAGAGTTAGACAGCAGCAGAAGTCTTGCAGAATGTCTCTGTGATTGTGCTGAGAAATCTCTGCATCTTATTGGAGGAACAAGCGACAAGTTCCCTTGGGAAACATGTACCAACTGTAGGCTTACTGTACAACAAGACATGAACAACTCCGATAACTATCCCTGCTGTCTTACTGCTGAAGTTATGTCTTGTTCTATTTCTATTTTTCCACTTCCCTCAAGCTACCATTTCTTAAACATAGGTTTGGACCAAATATGGGTTCCAGGCCAACTTCTGGTGGGTTTGAACATTATAAAGGAAACTGGATCATGGAGCAAACATACATTTTTCAAATATTGCTCCAAATGGTCCGTTAAAAGGTGCCACCAAAGCAGGAAGCATGAGTTACACAAATAGATTTTTATTATGCTCAAGTTGAATTCCCTCAGTTAATCTTCCTGGAAAAAACTGAGCTCTCGCCATGGATTTAAGTCCAAAGACGCATAATTTTGTGAATTCTTCCTTCTAAAAATAGCTGTCGGAGGTTGGGGTTTTAACCACAGAGTACATTTTGAGGTCTGAGCACTGTCTCTGCAGATTGTAGGGTGCTGGGTTCGATCCTGTAAGAATCCTTTTGACTTGTTGTGATGTGGAATGACCCCAAATCATCAAAATAACACGGCTATAGCTCAGCCTTTCCAAACCCCAACAGACAAAGTGAGACAATAACACGTCATTCACGGCGAGCTACTGTGGAAAACAATATGCAAGCGTTGAGAGTGAAAGGCACGTTTTGATGGTGTTTGCAAGTAGGTCACTGTACGCCTGAAAGAAATTTAAGAAGGGTTATGGTTATACATGTTCATGTAGTCATAGTGTATGCTGTGAGACACTGTTGGAGATGAGTTCAACCAGGTACATTGAGCCAACATATAGCACTTAACAGTTCAACGTAGAACACTGTAAGGATACCTCTACAGTGGTCACCCATGGCAACTCTTCAATATTTCTTTAAAATTAGTCTCATCTTTATAGATTTATTTTGTTATTTCCCTTATGAGTTTCTGAAACAGTGCCAACTTGGCAACCGTGTGTAGAGAAAGCACAGTTTTTTATTGAATAACATGTCACTTTAGTTTCACCTGGATTAGTGTAGTCAGGGATGCTTTTTTTTTTTTGTCATTTTGCCTTTATTTTACAGTTGTCACTACATATAAGTAGTTATAATGTAATTTTCTTTCTTATTAATATATGAAATATTTTTTATAGATGGTATATAAAGAAATTTAAGATACTTTTAACCTACATTATTGATTTTTTGGGCACCGCAACAAGCTGTAAACACTACTATGACATGCTTTTTCATTATAAAGTTGGGGGGACCATGTTAGCAAACAGTGGCATATTTTAACATCCTGCAGATATGAAGCAACATTAGCATGCATTTGGGGATGTGATTGTGTTCACCTGATGAAAGTCCAATATTCACTTTCCTTTTTACTCTGGTTTGGTCTCAAACAACTCTTGAGGGAACAATCTAGCTCTTCAGCTGCTCCACTATGTTCACTAGCTAGCTGCTAACTTTGTCTATCTGTTTAATGCTGGGTAGGACACATACATTGGGGATTATCAATCAGGGGAGTGTTGATGAGAGTGGTGAGACTGAACCAAAACAGTAAAGTTGTGTGCCGTAAAAACCAAAACAATGAGCTGAAAGACTAACACAGCTCAACAGAGCTGAAGGTGGGTTCGATATGACCATGTGTACGCATAGTCATTTGAGCCAATGCTAATAAAAAATATTGATTATAGCAGCTTTAAGAACTATTTTAATGGTTCTCAGGGGAAAAAAAGACTAACGTCTACGGCTCCTACTCTGTGGTCAGAGTCATGTCCACAATAGTTCACTTCACATATAACTGCAGGTTCCTTTGTCAAAAAACACAGTGTTGGTTGTGGTTGACCTGCTGTGGTCTGTGTAAAACAGCCACATAGTTTCTTGCAGGGTTTTTCTCTCCAGCCAGTTGTTTGTCTCAGAGGTCTGGACAGGATGGAGACCAACAAAGGCAAATGCCTTTTAAAGTTAAGTCACTAAACCAGTCCTGACTCTTCTGAAAGTGTTTCTACCTCCCAAAGGTGTAACCGCTGGATTGTAAATGTATGTGAGATTGCGTGCATGACAGAGTTACTGTGTGTGGTTTGAAATAAGGCTGAGCATTACCGTTGCACTCTCTGGAAACTCCTCTGCTGTGCAGTGCAGAAGCACATGTCCCTTATTAGGTAGGTTCATATAGACGCAGTTGGCAGCGAGGTCGTCAGGTACCGTCAGTTTATCATAGCGATGGTCACTCATTTGCTGCATGATCTACACATACAGATAAGAGACAAGACAGGAAATAGACATTTAGATAAACAAACAACAGGCTGTGGGAGTCCACACAACTTTCCGGGATACAGACAGAAAACAGTTATTCAGACTATCAGACACTTTGACTCAGAAGAAAGGCAACAATACCAAAGGCAGAACCACATCTTTCTGCTGGCCAAACCACTCTCGGGGCCTGGGGGGCCTTAATGGAGAACGCAGGAGCAGACAGACATTCTTTCTCAGCAGATGTCATGTTATTTATGTAATCTGAAGGAGTTGAAGGTGGGACAGGCGGTGGGGGGAAGAGAGGCTGAGAAGACGCCCATGTTGCCAAGTGGAAGTCGGGGGGTGAGGATGTTATGACCAGAGAGGCAGGTGCCTCTTAATGTTTATGAGCAGAACATCTGCGGACGGATACCTCAGAGACGAGAAGGGGAGGGGGGGTGGAAAGCGGGTAAAAAAAAAGGCCAATGCATCAACATTCAGAAAAGGTATTTTGAGAAGTGAGATTTTCACCAGATATAGTAGATGTCCTCTGCCTCATTTTTTTGTGCTTTTCAGCTGCTCGTCTTTAATGGTGGGCAGGATGAGTTCGTACTAAAGTTTACTAATGATCAACAGGCAAAAACTGTAATAATCAAACGTTGAAATTGTGAAAAAAATTAGATCAGAATTTGCTCACGAAAGTCGCCAAATGTTTCCCATGAGACTACACTGGAAGCAGAATGTATGACGTCTGATTGACGCACAAATAGGTTTGGAGGAGTTGCTGTGTGAATGTGATGACACAACTACAACATTGGGAGAAAAATTTGTGGTTTGTGAGCACAATGAGCTTGTGGCTGAAGATCTTTTCATTTTAATTCCCACTCAACTGGTGTGCTGCAACATATTACTCTTGAGTTATTGTCATGCAAGGAGATGTGTATTGCCAGCTAATGCAACACCATAGCAAATGTGCTGTTACAGGTCCTCTGTTCAGGCTTTCCTGGGAAAAATGTATCCAGCACACAGGAAGTGACACGTTTTATGTTTCTGGCAGCAGCAACGGTGCTTCATTGGAATAAATAGAAGAACAATTGTGCGGTTAGTATGAGCAGTAAATCCAATCATTAAATAGAAAAGCCAGGGAAAAAGTTTTCACAGGACTGGACTTAAATAAAGCAGTGGTCTCTGGGAACCACTGTGTAAAACGCAAACACAGTAAAGAAAGTTTTGCACAATGTTAAAAACAAAGGATATAAATATCATCATCATACATTACACCAGTACAGCAAGAAAAGCCTGAAAAATATTTTTACACATGAAATAGCCATAAATATAACAGTCCCAGCAAATGACTGACAATGCAAAATAAATTAGATTAACTTCACAATAGCTGACATTGCAGGGCTGCAGGGTGGAGTACAAGCAGTGTGTATGTGTGTGTGTGTGTGTGCGCATATGACTGTATGCGTGTATCCAGACCAGACACATTCCCAGGTCACTTGTGGGTGTGTTAGGTGATTGCAGCAGCCCTAAATGAAAACACTGTCCATGTGCGTGACCGCCAACACGGTCTCTCACACACAGGGGGATTAAGAGTGGTAGAGGGGAGAATAAACGTTGACTCCACCAAAGATCACAGTTGTTCCTGCTTCCCTCTCTGTCTCTAAAACATCTCACTTTCTCAATAAAAAAGGGAGAAAAAAAACTATTCAGGGTGTAAGGAAAAAGCCCTGCAGCAGAATTTCATCGTGCTTCGTGTAAAGTTCTGATCCATGAAATGTAATTAAATCCATAGAAAATTCACCTGACTGACTCATTGTGGTTCTCTGCTCATTGTGGGTGTAACAGGTCAATATAAGGCCAGATTACTAGCTCATGTAATTTTAATACTGAAGATGTTTTAATTTATTCAAATCCTAGCATTTAGAGAAATTAAAAACCTAGGGGAGGTTATCTTGGTTATTTCATGTTTTAAGCACTTCTTAGATTACACTTTCAGAAGTTTTTGCTAACATCAATTCCGTTCATTAATATGCCTCAGATTTGTGCGTCTTCTTTAAGTGTTTTAAAAGCGAAAGAAAAATGGAGAACCAAGGCTTCTACATAGTCATCTTGGCCCTCGACCAGTTATACAGCCATAGCAAATCAGCAGCAGCTTACTTCTAGACAGTGGCTGAGGTCCAGTTAATACACAGAGTGGTAACTGGGCAGCAGAATGTGCTCAGTCAGAACTGCTAAAACAAAATATTTACTGGAAGGTAATAAAATCCCCCTTGGGCGATGACAATCTTGACCAGTTAACAAAAACACTGACCATTTACTGGAGCTGATGCCGTCCACTGTGGTCATCAGCATAATCTGTATTTTGGCCCGTGGTATGAATATTTATAATGCTCATTGTAGTAATCCGTCCCAGGAAGCCTTTAAAAGTTTTACAATACTTCTTTTCACTGATGAACAACAGCAGCATGTACAAGACAAATCCTACTTGAGCCTGCTTCCAACTCCAGAGGGGAAATGAAACTGAAATTGCTTCCTGTTGATGTACAATAAATGTTTGTTATTGCTTCTTGACACACGTTTCACTCTGGAAATATTATTGGTCTGTAGGGAGTGTTTATTGCTGCACCCTAAAGTATCCAGTGGAAGATGACTAGGAGGGAGGGAAGGGGATGGGGAGGCGAGGATGCAGAACATGGCAGATAATATTAAGAAAAGAACAGAAAAGTACCCTGTGACAATCCACATTTCTCAGGTTTTTCTTATTATCTAATGCATAAACAAGGCAAGAATTCCTTATACTGTATTCTATGATTCTGTCTCTATGACTCTGCAGCTGACTCAGGGACTTGATAACATTATTGGCAAGGAAACCCAGTGCTCAAATGCCATATATGGCCCTCTTCCTGATATAATAAAAGCTGCCAAACTCAATTTTCTTTGCCACGCCAGCAGTGTGACTCTAGGGATGTCTGCCGGTCAGTCAGTCCATTTAGGCCAGACTGTAATATCTCAGCAACTACTGAATAGATGAAACTGTATACAGACATTCATGCCCCCTTCTAAAACTTCTTTCTAGTTTAACCAACACTGGTAACCATTATACCTGCTAAACTTCACCTTGTTAGCGATGTCATTATGAGTATATTAGTTTGCAGATGTTAGCATTTAGCACAAAGCACTATTGTGCCTAAACAGAGGCCTTTATTTTCTTTATGGCACATTTCAAAATAAAGGCACAAAGTGATATCATTTAAACAATTACAACAAATACCATCAGTTAACAAAAAGCCACAGGATACAAGTGAGTTTTTAAAAGGGATTTTAAAGAGGTTACTGAGTTTGCCTGCCTTTGATTATCATCTCAGGAAGAATCAAGGCAACAGTACAGAGTCCTAAATCTGTGACATAAAATATGTTATCAGCTGCTCTCTGACACTGCAGCTGAAGGACTCCATGAATGCATGCTTTGACATTAAAGGCAATGAATCATAATGGTCAAAAATCTTTTCCTAAAATAAAACACTAACAAATCGATTAAATAACTAATCAATTTGTTCATTAAACACCGGAGTTCATCAAAAATGTAGAATATGTTTATATGTTGGTAACTTGTTTGCGTATACGAGCATGTTTGTGATCAGGATTTGGTCATCAAACACAACTCATTCTCAATACAACCTTCACCGTGTTGTCACCTCATTATCTATAAAACTCAATCGTGTGAACATCCTTGAGGTGAGATCAAATCCTGACCAGCAGAAAGTAATGACCTCATGAATCAAACAGGGCTGAGTAAAGGGCTGACTGGTGAGCCAGAGCGCTGCCCTCGAATCCGCTATAGGGAGGGAATAGTGTGTCTGAGAACAGGGAGTGGGTGCTCCAGCCTCTGACAGAGGCGGTATTTCGAGATGATGACTTCATGACTGAAGCTTGGCAGTGACAGCGGCAGATGGATGACGAAACCCATCCGGTCAACATGTATTCTCATCCTTGGGAGAGCTAAACACAGAGAGGAGACTACACCTAGCCGACACATGTACACACATTTGGAGCACTGAGCCTTATGGTTAAATAGATCCCAGATAAAAAACAGAGCCACACTGCAAAACAGAGTAAACAATTAACAACCATATTAACTAGATGTCAGTGACATATACATAAACAGAACTCTAAACACATACTGCAAACAGTCAGATCACCCTCTCTTGTCAGTGAATATTCTATACCAATAAAGATTTTGCTCCCTAAAGAGAAAGTTAATTAGTCAGGCTCCAACTTTAATTTGTACAAAGTGTCTTTGTCCACGGGTACACAGACAAGACGCCTCATTGCCGTAGGAGCTGCACCAACATCCAAAACAAGCACTTTGAATTCATTAAAACAGCATTCATGAGATCTCACTCCCCCCACAAAGAGAACATTACCTAATTACAAATCCAGGGTCGTTAAAAGTCCTTTAAAACAGGAGCTAATTGCTGCAAGAGAGGGTGACGTAAGCCATAATTAGAAAGCAAGCAGTCTGTCATTAAGTCTCGCTAACGGCCACTCCTCGCTCCAGTAGCTAATTACTGGGGTGATCAAACAGGCAGGAATCTTAATGAGTCAATGCTGGAATATAAAATCAATTAGCATGTCTTTATGCATACATTCTTGACTTGTTGTGTACACTTCAGCAATGCAAACATGCTTACAAAACCGATGGGCCTGACCTTGTGCTGCTCTCAAGCACTTTGCCTCATTAGGATGTGCTGTCAGATGGTCTTGTTTTAATTGCCCCGGAGATACACTGTCTCTTACTTGACTTAAAGTAACTTTGTGTACGACCGGGCCAGTAGGGGGAGATATTACACTGGGACGCACGTGAAAATCCCTGCCAGTGAGGATCTGTCAAGGCCAAGGGTGCATGTGCTTGTGTGTAAGTCTTAAAACTTACGTAATTAGATATATGCAGCATGTGTGTCTATACTTCAATCATGAGTGCCATCACAAAAGCTCACATTCAGGAATTTTAGGGCTAATTGCATCAAAAAGGATGGGCTGAGATTTATTACTCTCTTTGTGAAAATGACCCATCCGTCTCTGACAGGGTGTGAACTGCCTCTTCTTCATGTCGCGTCCTACAGTATCCCCTCGCTTTATTTTTTGAGGGCTATTGTTGCAACGGAGCTCAATCGATTCAGAAGCCTTTTATGCAGTAATGAGCTCAAGCTGTTTAATGGGAGGACAATACCTTTGTAATTGAAGCTAGAGTGTTAGCGTCAGGGGCAATCCCCTCAGATTAGCCAAGAATATAAATTAATGAGGAGGGATTAAGGTGACAGGTGGTTTCAATGCGCTTGCAATGGGAAGCAGAAATCAAGCTGGAAGTTAGGGAGTCTGCTCTGAATCAACACGTGTGATGTCCTGTCTTGTAGTGTTATTCTTGCTGAATAGTTTGCAGAATGGGAGAAAAAAAAATACAGGGCTGCTCATACCAAAAGCATTGAGCCAAGAATCAGCCATAGAATAATAAAAAAAAGAATCAGCTGCGTCAATGTGCGTCATAGTTATACAAACAATGCCACTACATTGATTCAGTGGTTTCAATGTCTACATCTGGGGGAAGAATAGCAATAGCATGATGCTTTTACTGCATATACAACACACACATACACAAACTACATACTTTGAGGGCTTTCTGTGCTGGTTCACTGGAGCCGATGACAATGAGGCCTGGTCCTCCCATACTGCAGAAGCTCTTCAGGTGCAGCCCTTCCAGCACAGGCACGGTCGACACGGCGTAGTCCTGCAAAACACAATCCCATTAGGTGAAGCAAAAACCGAATAAGCGAATGAGCTTTAAGAAAAAAAAAAACAGGACCAGGTAATAAAGAATGACTTGCGTTGAGCAGAGATCACTACTAAAATTATTCAAATGTGGGTAATCACAATATTTGATCAAATGTATTTGTACTTCTATCCTAATAAAATAATCTCAATAAAGGTAGGATTGGATTGGACCGTACAGGTGTGATAACTCAGAGAAAGTTCCTTTGTCAGTGACAATGCTTCACAATACTTTCGAACCACAAAGAGCAACAGCTCCAGTCAGCGTAAGTGAAATGATGTGATGTATTATTTTTTATAAAAAATTAAAATAGCACTGTAGTGGTTTGTGTAATGTTGTTAAACTGGGTCTAAAGTGGCCTTTAAAATGAAGTAGTGGGCAGCTCAGGGGCAGAAACACCAGGAGTGTCTAGGAGATTTTGTAACTGAGCCCAGGGCTCATGGGGATATTACAGAGCAACTTGTAGGAGCCTGATTGGTGAGGCTTTCTCTAGCTGCAGGATGTCGCATACCAAATGGTACAAAACAACAGGTAATGATTAGGGATTCTTTTTAGGTCAAGTCAAGTCAAGTATCTTGTAAATCTTTAAAGTGGCTAAAAACTTTGTTGAAAGTAGTTCTCTATAATACTAAATATTCACTACAAGTGAAGTTAAACACTGAAAATAACTTCCTTCCTTATTTATTTAGAGTGTAACGGTCAAAATCTCAGCTAATCTGCTTCATCAGGACTCTCTGGGTGTGGTTTGATCACATTCAACTGACAATAGCTTGGCAACAAGAACAAAAAACACTACAACACTTTGAAATGCTCAACACTGATTGGTGCATGGTAACACATTACATCACATCTTTCCACTGAGCCCTGCCCATGACAAAAACATATATAAAAATGTCTCATGCGAAATGTCCAAAGCTGTTCAAACTATGGCAGAAAATGTAGTGTTTATATAGGACCCCATCGCTGATTAAGAAAATATTAGTTTTCAATGCCCTTAAATCTCTTTTCAGACTGAGGATAAAAGCAGCATTCAGTCACCAATTGCATCCATATTGACTGATATATGACACATATTAGTGAAGCATAGGATAATTTCTAGAGTACTGTACAGGGGCCTATAGTGTTTTATTTGTTCATTAAAATGCCAGTTGAAACCCTTGCAAGAATTAAAGCATGGGGTCCATATTTGAAGAATTATAGCATAGCATATCCTGCTGAAACAACATCCTTTTACCACAGACTTTGTTTTGATTTTGATTTACTGGACTGGAAGAATTTCCCACTTTCAAGTTGATTGATTGAGCATTTGATACATGGACTCAGAGTTTGTGACAGTGAGACATACTATAAGCCTTTTGAGGATCGCAAAAGCCAGGGTTGAGTCCTACAGGCATTTGTAAACCTTGGAGTGATATTAAGCTGCGATCTGAATAATGATAGGATACGAGACTTTAACATTATTTTCCAAGGCTTTTCCTTCCTGAATCTATGTGAATACATTTATATGAGCGTATAAATTTTGGTTTGCACCTAAGAAAATAACTTCCAACTGACATCCACGTGTTTTCTTAATCACATAATATGTTTTGAATGGGTTTTTATAGCTCTAGCTTTATAAAACCCTATGAAGTATTGTGTACATTTTCCATCTTTACACTCCATTGTGACATTTTCCATTCAAGTATATGTTAACACTTTTCAGGTCAATATTTGTACTGCATCATTAGCTCAATTCAAGCACTATGATTCACTGAAATAGTTATTGTGGCTGAATAACAGAATAGCACTTGGCAGTTCATCATGCGAAAAAACTTAAATTACCCCATCCTTGATGTTTTCCTGAACTCTTTCCTTGGCACTTGTTTAGAAGATACAAAAGGGCAACTGGGAATTATGTAATCTGAACTTTCTTCATTCCTTATCCATGAACAGGAAGTTTTGTTGCAGTATAAAATTAGAAATACGAGTCATACTTTTGTCCATATCAAGATGAATCCATAAGGGAATTACAGGGAGAGACAGAGTTGATTTTCATCTGCTGTAACAGGCTGATATACTGCCATAATGTGATCTGAAAAGACCCTATTGACTAACCAAGCAGCAAGGCAGAATGGGCTTCACTGTTCAGACCCTTGGCGGTGTCCATGTTCGTGTCTTATTGGTACAAGTTAGGGTTCAACACCTCTCAGCTGTAGAAGAAAATAAGTAGTTTGGCCTCCATATTGGTCCTTCCCAAACATACTTCAATCAACAGCGCCATCTTTTGTGACCTCTGCAAGGACCATAAAGAAAAGCTTTGACATCTGTACGCAGTTGTTGAGTGCTAAACAAACCTGGCAACAAAATGATCCTTAATTTGATAATGAAAGGAAAAAACAACAGCGATAGGAGGAATCAATCTGATAAAAAACGGAAAAAACAATAATGGAGTGATTTTTCCTAGTGTCATTTGCCAGAGACGCATCATTAAGTTCTGTCTTATCAAAGATAACAGAACACACAGAGGAATCCATAATGAGGAATTCAAATCAGATACAGATGGGAAGAAGGAAGCAAAAAGGCCATTCAGGTTACCGTAATGTGTTGAACTCTTCACGCCATGACCCACCTCTGAACTTGTGAGTCAGCTGGCTTTTCTCTTTTGATATGGTCTCTCAGAGCAAATCCAAAAGCAGTACACAAACGTCTGCAGTATGAACCTCCTTCACATTACAATAACAGTAAACAAGATAGATAGAATCAGTATGTGTTTGTGAGTCACCCCGTGACCCTGTCTGTAGGCTGCATGTCTAAATCCTCCTAGTTTGCTTGAATCTGTTGTTTCAGTGATGTTTGGGACATTTCTTTCGGATGTGTGTGTTATATTCGGGTGGTGATTGTTGAGCTCAGTCGTGGCAATCATGGTCAGGCCACATTGCACGGAAATTAGTCAGAATGTAGTCAGAAAGGAAAATACAGTCAGACCGTTTAAAATACCAAATCATTGACTTCAGCAAGGTTTGAAAAGAGACATAGATTGGGCTTATAGACTTAATGTTGCCTTTTACTTCATGGATGAGACTGGTGATGAATATTTTAGCAGCAGAACATTGTACATCAACTCAACTACAGCGTCGACGTTAGTTGTAATGAAAGAACCCCATGTGGGTCACTGAATTTAATTTCTGGACAACAATGGATGTTTTTGGCACCCCTAAGCTCATCAGGCTCTGGCTACACAGGCAATACTTGATTATATTAATTAGTAGTATCTGAGCTCAGTGCTATGAGTTAATCTGACAGTTTATTGAAGATGACTGAGTTAGTAATTGTGTTACATTTGTCTCATTCAAAGGGACAAAAGACAGGAGTTACAGCAGTTGTCAAGTTGTAAATTATATTTTAAAAAGATTTACATGGAGCCTAAAAACTTAAGCCAACAGTCATGTATCATTCAAAGGAAAACAGCATTTACTTATGGGGCAAAGCATGGAAGAATGAGCTTCAAATGCCATTTTTAATATGACTGATGATTATTATAATGATAATTACGATGTTGACGTGCTGCGTGTCATTCACTCAAACTCTAAATAGGCTTAGTGGTTTTAATATGACTCATCAACGATGGATAAGAACTGTGAGAAATATCTTTTTTCTTCTTTCCCATAACTGGTCAACACCAACCATCGGTAAGCACAGCAGTGATTTACGGACATGTTAGTTTAATGAATTAATAACAGCACGTAAAATAATTCATGAGAGAGGTGTTTCCCCTCCCAAATCACCTTTTTAATCAGTGTCATCAACTGCTTGTTTAATCACTGTGTACAGAGGTGGCAGACGTTTGCATCACTAGCTGATTAAAAATGCCTCAAAGCCAGCTGAGGCCTGGACCCGAACACGAACGACTAATTGCCATTGGGACTGTTTACAGCTGCATCCACCAATCAATAATCTTAGAGGGCTCCACTGCAATGGTGCTAAATAACGAAGTAGAAATATGTTTTTAAATTGTACTCTGGACAACTATTTATGTATTTGGGTTATGTCAATAGTTCTACAATTTATACTTTAACTTAACTTTAAATTTTAGTTGTTCCCTACAAAATGTACACAGAGTTACTATACAAATATACAATGTTTTGAATGTTCAGGCCAATGTCCAGTTTGTGGCATTAATTTCCCTACAGCAAATTGGATGTATTGAAGGGTTCCCACATCTCCAGGCAACAGTTCATGTTTATATGTACTGTGCAGCACAGAATCCACAAAGACAGCGTGGCCTTGACACGGACAGACAGTCTGACATCCACACCAAAGTGAATGCAGGGAAGGAAGAAGAGGTGGATGGATGTAGGATATATATAATGGCTAGAAAGGAGGGGGTGGCGTAAGGCAGAGATGGATGGAGGGAGAAATGGAATTAGAGAGAAGGGGGGGGGGGGGTAGAACAGAACGGCAAAAAGCAAGATAAATGGAGTGATGATGCTGTTAGCTTCCGGGCCTAAAGATTTTATGATTGATAACATATTTATCTCTTCCTTTCTTGTTTGCAATGTCTGATCGCTTACTGCAGGGTTTGTGTTTAGGGACCATTTAAGAGACTTCAGAAGAGAGTTCTTTCAGAGAGTTCATTTCTGTATTTTCATAATGAATAACAAAGTTAGCATACATCCTTTGAAGACCCAACTGTATTTTGTCTTGAAACCGGCTGCTTTAAAAGGAGCGGTGTGCGGGAATTAGTGGCATCTAGCAGTTTAGTCGCAGACTGCAACTCAGTCACGAGAAACTACGGTTGCCATGAAACACATGAAAACCGCTCATGGTCCTATGTAGAGTCAGTATTTGGTTTGTCCTTTCTGGACTACTGTAAAAACATTGAGGTTCAACATGGCGGCTTACATAAAAAGGGACCTACGGCATCTGTAGATAAAAAAGGCTCATTCTAAGGTAAGAAAAACATAATTCTTATTTTAATGTGATTATACACTAATGAAAACACATCCTCCTAAACGTGACCCTCTGGCCTTTAGGTTTTAATATGATTCATAGAAGTCCACTCTGTAGGTCCTCGCAGCTTTATGGAGCTTTACAGCGTTTTTCAGCTCATTGTTTTGGTTTTATGGGCTGCAATTCTACTGTTTTGGTTCTCTTTTAGCAGTCTCATCAGTGTCGTTCTCAGCTGCAGAACACAGAATTTACATCAAAAAAGCTTAAAAAATCCACTGTACACAGCATGTCTTGCGAATAACAGTTAGCAACTAAGTGGTAAACACAGTGGAGCAGTTAGAAGCTAAAGAGCCAGATATTTCCCTCAGAACTGGGTGGAAACAAAACTTTAAATAAAAAGAGAGTGAATGTTGGACTTACATTTGCCAGGTGGCCATAAAAATGACTCCAAATAAATGCTAATATTGCTCCATGTCTGCTGGATGAGTGGATGAGTATTTTATATGTTGTGTTTCCGGCTTGTTGTGCGGCCCCAAAGTGCAAGTACATTTAAATTCAGATACTTAACTTAAGGACTTATGCATCTATGTTATACAATGGGTTGTTTACACTTTATTGCAGTCATATTCAAGCAATATATCTTTACTTTTACTTAAGTATTAGTTGTGATTTGGACACCTTTTTAAACCACTGCACCATTTAAAACTCACCTTAAAGGCATCTGCAAGGATCTCTGCTCCTCTCTGATTGGTCCGTTTGGAAAGGCCCACAAAAAACTCTCGACCTGGAGAAAGAATCAGACGCCACTGAAGGTGTGTAAACAAATGTCAATTCAATTTAATACAATAAAACTTTATTCATGCCAGGAGGGCCATACAAAAGCATAGAAAAATACCAATGATGAATTGGGAAGGTGGACAGCAGAGCAGATATAAATTCAGAGTAACGATTAATATAATGAAGTATGAACATGACATCTAAAAAGTTCTAAAACCTGTAAAGTCAATAGTGATAAAAACCTTGAACACCAGAAACACAGTGTGCCTGTGGAGCTTCAGCAGCTGAACACTGCAGTCACCACAGTGTGTACTTTATGCATGCCTGTGAGAAAGGCCAACTGTGGTCAGTATGGTGGGGCACAAACAGACAGATCCCTGAATGCCTGGCGAGGCTGCAGCAGCACACTGAGCTCAGGGATGGGCTCCTAATGTAGCTGCTGAGCCTTTACAAAATGAGCCGTTAGCCAGGGCCCTGCCAACAGGAAATGTTTCTAGCCCTGCCATGTGAAACCGATTTCAGCTGGAAGGAACGAGAGCACAAAGCCAGTGTCTAGAAACCCAATTAAGTGTACTATGCTTTTTCCTAGTGGCCTGCGCAGTGTATAAGACACTGACCCACATTTTAACTCACCACAAGACTGTAACAGAATGTACAGAAGATCTAATAAAGACCACCATGCTCTTGACTCTCTGCCTTAATCAGTTTTATTACCTGATGCCAGAAGACTAGGAGTCATGTGGCGACGATTTGACCACGCAGTTTGCTACACAATGTTTTTGCTACAGATTATTTTTTGATGGAGATTCTGCTTAGTGCGCTGAGGCACCAGGTCAATGAGGTCGCACAGAGGAATGTTTGTGTGGAAGATCCCAAAACACAGACACATAAGAAATCCATTACCTTCATATACTGTAGTTCTTATATGAAGGTAATGGATTACAGTATTATGTAAGAAATAATACACACATCCTGTTTATGATTTTAACAGACTCCTGTAAGCCAATCAGAAACATGTTTCACATTTAAAGTATTTTTTTAAATGGCCATTTGTCTTCTGTGTTTCCTTATGGCCGTACGGGGACAATCTAAAGTAGAGAACACGCAATTACTGACCTCAAGTATTGAAGCAAGGTGGAAAAACATGGACTGCTCCTGTTAAGGTTTTGTGAAACTGCTCAGGAGAACCAGATATTTATTGTACAGGTTTAAGCCAAAATGTTACTTATCTGTGTGCTGATTGGCTAAAAATGCTGGAAATCAAACTAAAAGCATTGACACTTTAACTTTTACTTTGTTTAATAAGTGATTTTGTTTCCTGTTTAATGCGCGAGAAGCATTGTGAAGCCTTACAGTTTATAAGCTCTAAGAACAGCTAAATCACCAGTATGTTGTTTGATCCATCCAACCCTTTTGTACTGTGGGGTGTTATGAACACTGGAGTCTGCTATCAGGCCTGCTTTTGTGCTAGTATACTAGTAGTACTACTAGTAGTAGTGGTAGTATTTTTTACCATCAAAATGACATTGTTCCACACTTTGGTCTTTGTTAAAATAATAGGTCTTAAGTAAGCTTTAGCAGCCGCTGTAGGAAACTACAACATCCTAAAACACATGTCCCCCTTCACAACCCAAACATTTTTCAAACCAAACAGTTTTTTAGAAGTTTAGGTCATCAATGCAGTGCAGGAGAAAAAACACCCAGCAGAAACTGACACGGATGACACATCTCAAGGCGGATGTAAAAGCCAATGTTACCCCGTCTCACCTTCCTAGTTTCATACATTTCCTGTTTAAACTAACATCTGGCAAAACAAAGCAAAACGGAAGTACCCTTGGATGTAAAATGTTAGAGAAGCTGCATTTTATGATGGATGTTGGTCTTCCCCTCACCCCAGTAAAACTGGTTTGATGTATTGGAATCTTGGATTGAATCTACTGAATGGCTTTTAGAGCGTATACAGCTATTTAATGCAACTATGTGATGGATGCATGAATTTATAGAAACCCCAGAGTAACAACAGTAGCCCTTCAGGGAGAGTAGCAGCTACATTGTTTTTGTAAATCTTCCACATGTGGACGGCCTCAGGCTGTATTGGTGTAACACTGTAGACGTTTAGGGTGTTCAAAAAAGTACAGTGATTCAGGGAACATAGCTTACCCGTAAAAAGCACATCTCCTCCATCCAATGTGGCGTTCTCGTCGGCCATTTCCACAATGTTCAGATTCAAATCCTTCAGAGCTCCTTTCATTAACTCCGTCTGGAACAAACACAAGGACACAGACACAAATACACGTAAAACATCTGCTGATATTAAACAAAAAGACTGAACTGTAATGACGTACAGTGAGCCCCACCACCAAATGGGCCATCACCATTTCCTATCTTCAGGAATATTATGATACAGTCCAGTTCTAATCAGACATCTGTAAACAGGATGATGAAAATCAGTTTGAGGATTTTCACTGGATTTCTGTACGGCACAGCATTTTGCAGTACTCAGATTCTTGAGATTGAGTTCAATGAAACGAAACCTTCTCTCTCCAACAGGTTGCGATGACATCATCTTAATGAGCCATGAAATGATGTCATTTTGGAGGAAGTATGTTAAAACTTTTACAAGGCAGCGGCTGCGGAAAATAGGTACGCTGAAGGACTAACACAAACTCTAAAAAAGCCTCTTCCTGTCCTAATGTCCTGGGTCATTTGTTTTATATATCTATAGGAACAAAGGAAAAAGAATGGCTGCCACCCAGATAACATTAGCATATATTATGAAATGGAGGAGGAATCCACATTTCACCTGCATGTCCTCTCTACTGAACTGGAGACCTGAGGAAAGACCAGGTCTTTTTCTGGCTGAACTTCGGCTGGTCTGCTCTCCTGTCTGACCGCCCAGTGTGATTTTACTGTCCTGTTTTTGGGGGTCCTGCGGGAGTAGTTTCCAAGGCCAGTCATGTTAGCGAGAGCATCAGTGTTTCCACAGGCCCTATCTCACTATGACCTCAGCCTGCTCACTGTGCTTTTTGGCCAACACAATGCTTCTGCTTCTCCTCATTTGTGGAGGGCCGAACCATGAGATCATCCAGGTAGACTGCCGTGCACTTCCCAGATAACACAATGAACGCCTGCGTGCGCACACATGAATACACAAATGAAATGTTTTGACGCAATGATTTACACACAAATACTTACACAGAAGTATTACACACTCAATTAGGAGTTTATTTTTTTATACTGACAGGTCTTTCTATTATTCTGTCCTTCCCATTTAAACTGCATCTTCCAAAATGGCCATACAGTTGAATGAACGCCTCTACAACAGATTGAACATCATAACCTTAAGGGAGGATTTATTGTAGGACTGTTATATTTGACTACGTTAGTCTTAGCTAGGTGTATAGCTAGGTCCCTATCCTGAGCAAATATTCAATGTGCCACTATGTATTAGTATTTACAGCTATTTGTTTGGATGACTGTTTCTTTAAATGGCCTTCTGACCCAGTGGCACTTTTCCGATGTATTCACTTTCCAGAAGTAGGATGGTGGAATCCCGCAGAATAATCAAACTTTCCTCCTCCATGTTTCCTCTTCACTGCAGGCATTCTGCTCATCTTTCTGCTTCAGCTAACCAGGCAGAACATAGCGTCCTTCCAAGTAACTGGGTTCACAAATTTATTAGTGGTTTCTTAAAAGCTCTGACAGCAGTAGCGTGCAGAATATTAAGTATAGGTAACAGTTAATCCCTCTCATTTTTTGTTCGTGCAAAGCACAAGCATCGCCAAGTCACTCTCTGCTTTTCATTTAGTTAGGTTTGTGGATATGTTGGGTGGCAAATAAAAGGTTGAGTCAGGTTTTGAGGAAGTAAACAATCCAGATGGTTGACAGAGAACTTATGCTATTGATGTTTGCTGGAGTCATGTGTCATGTTGTCTTTGTGTCCCATTGCTGTCGAGTTTCAGCACGTCCCAGCAAAAAGACTATTCCTGCTCCATCACTGATTCATCATGAGTGAGGAAACCTCAATCAGTTCAAATATTTAATGTACCAACAAAGCCCTTGTCTGCATGCCTGCGCCCATCAGCGAGGCAAGATTTCCACAACAAAGAGCACACGCCTCATATTTAATACCCATATCATATTGAGTATATAATTAAAAAAACATTTAGAAGAAACACCTTTCACAACAAGGCCACACACATTATACACACTGAGCTGCGTCTCCACAATCATTATCAGCCACTGCTTTTTTTCCTTTCTTCTCCCGTCTGTAGCACATTGGAGCCTCCACTATCACAGTGGCCGTCTGTCCAGGAATCTGCAGGACTGTATGAAGCAGCTCTCTACTTCATCTCTCTGGCATTTCCTCTGACATCACTGGAGGTGATGTGACCCGAAGAGTGTTTAGCCCTCCCTCCCAATGTGATATGTAATGGCTCCTATACATACTGGTAGAGAACACCAATTAGGCTGTCTTTACGGATCAATCAAAAAAAAAGTAGCAGTAGCAGAAATGGACAAGAAATGTATGTGTGTTTTTGATGAGGACAAAAAAAAACAACTAGAACAAACTAAAGAAAAAAGTACATTAGTACCATGTCACCACCTCCCACTAAAGTGCACACTGAGGAGAAGATTGAGTGTGCACTGTGTGATGTAATGGTCTTGTGTATACAGTTTGTGAATGATCAGGCATACAATGACTACACAAAGATAAATTACAGACTTAGTGTAATTCATCATTTACAATAAATAAACAAAGGCTGTTGCCCAAATCCTGCAAGACGCACAACACAAAATGTTCACAAAGCAGAACATACTGTATTTATTATCAATCTGTGCCTTTAGATACAAGTGACATGGTCTCTCCCATGTATTGGTCATTTAAGTCAAACCACAGCCAGCTTTGACCCATATATGGCTTCCAGATCTTGCTCAGTTCTGTGTGTGCGCAGATGTCAGCAGTTGCTGAGAATTAGTTTGCATCAGCAGCACCCCAGGCTAGCTTTGGGCCTGTGTTGCAGAAACATGGGTTCATTGAAGCAGATAACCTGTATGCTTGTTCATAGCTGGCAGCAATGCACCTTTCCCTGCTATCACACATCCACTTGTTCTGACATACTGTAATCCTTTGCAATCATTAATATCTGAAGCTGTTTTTTTTTTAATATTTCTTGTTTCAATCAGATTTCCAATTTTCTCTCATCCCTTGTCATCAATTTTCTTTTGCCACAAGGCTGACAACACTGATTGCATGGATCATACCATTCTCAAAAAACTCATTGGTAAAGTCTAAAGTGTCTAAAGTGTCCAAACTACTTTACTATGTACTATACTGGAGTCAAGGTCATGTTTGTCATAAGCAGAAACATAGTCAGAAGCAGTCAGTGAATGTCTTTTTTATTTTTCAATAGTCATCTCCTCCTGTATCAGTATAACAGAATGAATGATTGTTAAGATTTTTACTGTGAGTTGTGACAGAGCATTAAGTGCCATAATCATGACTGACAAAGCTAGCCGCTGCATAGTCTGAAAATAATTAGCATGTCACTGAAAGTCCCAAACAGCTCCCCACAGACAGACAGATAGACTGCTAATTAGAGCAGATTAAGCCAAGTTAATGCTGTGCAGTTTCCTCATGTGATTCATATTGCACTGACAGAGTAGTAAGTCTATCCACTGGGTACAGTCACCAATTTCAGCTCCATCACTCATTAAGGCAGGTATGTCTCTATCGATATTTCCTTACTAGTTAATGGAAGTTGTAGTGCACATTATCTTGGTGGCACAGAGACAGTGCAGGTCAATATCCTGTCATGATGAAGGTAATTTTTTGGTACACTCTTTATAGGAACAGTTCAACCTGTATGGTAAGCAAGGCTAGTGGTTTTCCATTTTCCAGTCTTTGTACTAAGTTAACCTAACAGGCTGTAGATTCACGTTTGCGATAAAGACATAAGAGTGGCATCGATATTCTCATCTAACTCCAGGCAAGAAAGCTAATAAGCAAATTTCCAAAGATGTCAAACTATTCTTTTAACAGGTGAAGACATTTCAAGTTTCATATAATGACCTTTGACCAAATTGGAGGCTCTTTTTTGACGGATTAGCACTGTCTTTAGTAGCTCTGACTCTCCTCTCTGGCCCTTTTTCTCCGCTTCTCGTACTTCACCGTCTTTCTTTCTTTCTTTGTCTCTCACATTCCCTCTATTCTCTTTAGACCCTCGTGGCAGGGTCAAGAATGCTCCTACAGTGTCTTCTCATGCAGAGTGGCCTATTATCTCTCTCTGTGAGGGATATCCAATACCCCACCCGGCCTAGGTGCCAACTCACTTTGCCAGCACCTCCTCTCCCTCCCACCCACCCTCTTATCCTCCTCTCTTCTTCTCTCCTCCTTTCCCCTGAGTGCTTGGCCAGGCGACATGCTGTTAGCCAGCACCCTGCTTTGAATGAAAAAGGCCTTTTAAAATTCATTAGGGGCTGAAGGCTCTGAGATCCAGTCGGTCTGCCTGCCACATTCCTGCCGTTCCAGCACAGGACAGGGGAGACGGAGCAGAGAGAACAGCCTTTTATTTGGGGCTTTTTATGGACCCGTACTCCCTTCTCTCGCCCCTGGTACCCGTGGATATCGCATTCTGCTAAAAAGGACCATCAGTCTGATAGAGCACGGTGCATTTGGAAAGGGAATAGAGTGCACAACAATAGCATTCCTGAAGGTCATCCTAGCCTCCCTACACCAGGCAACAGAGTCCCACGCTCCGACATAATGGGGATACAGCATTCCGCTACGCCTCACATGGAAGGAGGTTAACCTCTTTAAATGACAGTTATCAGCTGCAGCTTGTAGGTTTATAAAGTATATGAAATCAATGGCACATAACACCAGAAAGTTTGGTTTTAAAAGCTAATTCAAACTGTATAAAATAAGACAAAATATGGCAATACATCTTAAATCTGTATTCATTTATTTTATGGCCACTTGGGTGAGGCAGAACAAGCTGCAAACACTACAGTGATCGATTCATGATCTCCTTGTAATGTTGTAAACAGCCGCGGTGGCGACATATACATCAACTATGTTTTCAAACATCAAAACAAAAAAAAAGAAGCAAATATGAAATGCATGGCTGTTGGTTGTCATAGTAACACAACACACTTTCTCTCTTTGCAGTTTTTCAGGAGTCAGAGCAAGAATTTGCTAAATGGAGCTCATAGAAACGCTGATACATTTCGGCCCTCTACACAGCGAGAACTCAACTT